CCTTTCAACAGACTTCAACAATGTACAAACGAACATGAAATTCGAATGAAAATTGAAGAAACGGAAAAATTCATAAAGGTGACAATCATAACGTTTATTTATTATTAGTTTTTTTATTCTAATGTCAGCTTTGTTATTCTTAGGATCGGTATAAGAATTGTGTGATAAATGCAAAGATATATGATGGACAATTGGAATTCATCACGTATTTTAAAAAAGATTGGGTGAATGAATTAATGCATATGTGGACATTTTATGGCAGGAAAAAAGCGGCAGATATACTAGCAATCGATGTCAATGTTATGCCGTGGACAACGGATTACCTGGAAGGTTTCAGAAGACAGTTCAATTCAAAACGTATACTAAGATTTCAACGAAAAGGGCACGTTTTACGATTAGATGCCTTGGGCGTTATGTTGGTCAAATGCATCACGCCGATTTGTAATATTCAACGCGACCTCTGGAATAACATTGATGATATACTGAACAGAAAATCACAATCACAAGGGGAAGAAGAATTTGAAGAAGGCGTCATAAGAGCTTTGTTTGATCATTATATCAATACCATTGCATTTGATGATTTAGATCCACGAAAGGAAGAGGAAGCAAATTTATTTTTAATCAATGAAAAAATTAAATTCATTGAATTTAATGGACAATATCTTTTCGTTAAAATTCAATGCGATATAAAGAATCCAGAATATGTTCCCAATAATAAAAATATGGATTATTATATTGTTTGTCTTGCACCATTCATAAGTTGTCATTGTTTTAATTTCCTCCTTCGTGGAGGTGCTTGTTCTCATATACGAGCGGCCATCAAAGTCGTTAATTGGATGCGACTAGAACCGAGAACAAGGATCTATTTTAATAATTTAGAGCACTGGGAAATGCCTCACATTCAATTAGATTCGCGCATAGAGGCACTGAAAGGGTTGCACAAGCAAAATCATAGGAAGGTATTTCCGTTTCAATCAGATGATCCTATAGATGATGAGAATTGCTCCGATAGTGAAGATGAGGATGTTGACCCCTTTGATCCCCGTATGAACTTTTTGACAGGGTTTGATAAATGGACATTTGGAGTGGGGACAAGTTCAACGCCCATTTCAGCACTGACTGAAGGATCCTCAACACGAAATCCAATTGCTATCAACGATACAGGTTCAACACAGTCTATAACCAATTCTTTAATAGGCTCAACGGCAAGAGAGAGGATGATTCAATCTTGGAACAACGACCTATCGCTTGCTACAAATAGATTAATAGGAAACATGGACGATTTAATAACGGTC